TACTGGTGGAGGGGCCTGACAGAGGGAAGGTGGTCGTCTAAGAGTAGATAGTCAGGCGTATCTTCTGTTGGTTGCTCCAGAGAAGAGGATGGGGGAAAACTTGGGGAATTGGGAACTGAAGAAGGAGGGGTTGTCCATGGTGAGGTGCTGTTGAATAAGGTGTGAGCACCTTCCTCCATCTCAAAGGCCAGCCCCTCGACGACAAGGTTGGAGAAAGAAATATCCGGTTTGATGATAATGACATGGCCATTCCACGCCATCTGCAATATGATACGTCAGAAGCAGTCTACCAGGATGAATGGGTCGCTTATGTGTATTCACCGGGATTGGAGTATTCACAAAGAAGGTGAGTACACTCGTTGTGTGTATTCCCCGGGAACGGAGTATTCACACAAGTTTGTGCAGTGTGGGGAGGGGCAGCATTATAACTCACCTTGGATGGGTATTGGGAATGGGTGTGAAAATCATGAACCGTCACGAACGCGCAACCATGCATTGTTTGTCACGCAACACAACCAAGTAATCTCGGTGTGGCATTATCTCCTCATAACATCCTCAAGGCGACCGAGTCTTCATGTCCAACTTCAGCATTGGTTTTCTTTCTCGGCCTTTGAAACGTCGACGAACAGGGACCTACCATGACCGCGCAACTTTGGAAGATGACTTCGAAGTTATTCATTCCCGTGAGATTGGAGTGAATTGGCACAGCAATGTCATCGAAACTCCGTGTTCCCCACAAAGGGGCTGCACCGCTCTGCTTGAGGGTGATTCTGGGGCTCCCACAGACGACATTCAATTGGGTTTAGATCCCAGCTCAGAGGGGTTCGAAGAGGAAGTAGAGGCAGACATTGTGACGGAGCCCTTGCCTCAGAAGAAGAGACGGGTGAAGAGCAAGCTTTCAGTAAGTTTCCGTCTACCTTTCCTTGCCCATGACGTCCTCATGTCATGACTTGTAGAAGCGCCCTCATATTTTTTGGAAGAAAAAACATCGTGCCACATACCTTGATGAATTTCTCCAGTGGGAGGGAAGAGGCAATTTTCGGAAGGTGAAAACCTGTCCTGATTGTGCTTTGAGGGGCATAGAAGTTGCAGGAGCACCGGAATTTCGGTCCTTGGATTGCTTCATGCCTGATTTGGTCTGTAGGACTTGCTGTGTTCAGCGTCACAGACTGAATCCATTCCACATTATCGAGGTACGTTATCCTACTCATTTGGGAAGGCTTAGCCTGACTAAGGCAATCATAGAGATGGGCCGAAACCCGACCATGCGATGCTCTGTTCCTGAGCGTTGCCATGCCGACCTTCGCGTTCTTCACACGAATGGCATTCATGACATTGCCATTGATTACTGCAACTGTGAGGCTGCAGTTCCCAAACACATTCAACTCCTTTGACGAGGGCTTTACCCAGCCAGCTAACTCATTCCAAAGACCTGTTCGACTTTCATGTTGCTTCGACTCCTACATCACCTCACCCTCACCTCAAAGGCATCCACATATGACTTCTACAGGGCGCTGGAGAAGGAGACGAACAATACGGGGGTTTCAGTGCCCAAGTCGCGATATCGACAACTCCTTCGAACAATCCTCCAATTCCGGCACCTGAAGATGTTGAAGAGGGGTGGGGTGGCTCACAATGTTGATGTGGCAAAGGATCCGTTAGGGATTGAGTCAGTCAAGCCTGGCGCACTTGCAGTGCTCTGCCCACATTGTCCATACCCAGGGATCAACCTTCCTGAAGGCTGGGAGAAAGCACCAGATGATTCTAAGTGAGTGGTAGGCTCTCTGTTGGAATGCTCATGGTCCTAACGTCTTTTTCACAGATTTCTCTACTATATCTTCTACTGCATGGATGCCAACTTTCGACTTAAGAATCAACTTGTCTCGTCATACGCTAGTGACCCTGGGCTCAGAATAGGGATGGCTTACATGGTGCCCAGGCGTGGCTATGAGGAATATGTTTTGAGTCGTGCAAGTGATGCGGATGTGAGTTCTTGCAGGCGTTCCTGGTTGTCTGATGTTTTGAGTCATGCAAGTGATGCGGATGTGAGTTCTTGCAGGCGTTCCTGGTTGTCTGTTCTGACTAAACATTCAGATCAGCACCTGTGTGGGTTTTGCTGCCTTGGCTAAGGCCAACACAAAGTTTGCGAAAGGCTTGAGGTACACTGGGGTGGGAGGCGTTTAGTGTGCAAGAGGAGAGACAATATTGCCGAACAGTGTTGGGAATTTACAAAAGGGGGAAAGGTACATTACTCGACTATATTTTTCTCTCTGTTTCCTGACCGGCAATGAGCTAGATATGCAAATATGGATTACATCTTCGCCTCGGCTGTGGGCGACACGTCACCAGACCAATTCGTTGTCATAAGTTATGACATAGCCTGTCAATGGTTCAAGGGACTTTATGGCCGAATCGAACAACACTGGCCAGATGACTTGAGGTGAGTGGGGCAATTGAAAATGCACCCACAGATTCCCGCATTCCACAAGCCAGCGCATGGCCAAGCTAGGCACCAGGAGTATTCATGCAAGTTGTCCCCAGGCATGGACATGACGGATGGCAAATGTCCTGAGAGGATCTGGGCAGCACACAACATGCTTGGAAATGCAATGAAGACACAAGGGCCAGGTTCATGCCATGATGTTATTGACGACCATCTTGGCTTTTGGAATTGGTGCAAGTATACCAGTATGGGTATGTACTTGCCTAATTCTAACCCTTTCGTCACTGAGAGCCAATTCCTAGGCAAGCCTTTGATGCGAAAATATAAGAACACTGTGCAGGAACGAAACATTCAGGTTGAGGGCCATTGTGGGCTGACGGAAACACTGCCCGCAAGGCTGGTGCTGGAGTGGGAGCGTGTTTGTGAAGAGTGGGACAGAGTGCCATTTCCGAAGAAGGCGAAGAACCCATTCATAACTGGGGGAAAAATCTAACTGAGGCGCAGATTAGGAAGGATCTAGCGGATGAGGAGGAGGACAGACTAGACAAAGGGCTGGAGTCCCCAAATGTGATGAACATGTCTTCATTTGTCATTCTGGGGCTGGAACTAGAGGAATCCCAGTAAGTATTTTGGTTCTCTTAATCAGCTACAGGCTCTGACCAATGCTCTAGGTGTCGCATTCGTGAAATGGCCAAGTCTAAGGCTGCAACAGGAACCTCCCGCCAGGAGTCGTCCTTAACGGAGCTTCGGAATGTTTTACGTGCCAAGATCAGAACCTGGGAGAGATTACGAGACGTTTACATGCCTGGAGTTCATTCCCTCCAGGTCTTGCAAGATCAGCATCCAACTTCCACCGTTCGATCCCAAGAATTCCGACCACCCTCTGCCACCAATCACCCAGAGGACATTGACCTTTGGCTCCCATCAACACTCTCTGCTGCTTCATGGGCCTCCATTTGTCCACCATGGCTCTCGAGCATTGAGGAGAAACTACGCGTGGCGCAATGCAATGATTCCTTGGACAACATTCACCAAATTCTTCGCATAAAGGCACGGATGGTCCTTTTCAAACACAAGCATGTTAGGGGGCAGAGAGAGGGAATGAGGTCGCAGGCTGTAATCGATCGCATACATGCAAGTGCGCGGGTGGCAGTGGAGAGGTATAGACATGCAAGGCTGGCCAAAATGTCACTCTCAGGCCCAGGTGATTGGGAAAAGGGCCTCTGTCCCCTTCTCGACTCGGATATCCGAGCATACCAAGATTTGAACAAAATGAAGGAGTACGTTGGCCAGAAGGGAATGAATGAGGTGGAGTCAGATGAGGAGGGAGGTGATAGAGTCCAGCCCCCCAACTTTCGTCGGCGGAAGGATGGCACAGGAGAGACTCGTCGGACTTTGTCATGGATCTGGGTTGTGGAGGGATTTAGGGTCAGTGAGGATAGCGCAGATGACAACATCTTATGGTCGGAATGGGCGAAGAGCCACGCACGGGCAAAACGTACCACAGAAGATGTCCTTCTCCTCTGTGAGGAGATGAGGCGAACAGGGGAGTTCCTTGCATGGAAAGCAAGATGGTGGGAGGGCAAAGCAAATGCAAGGAGATGCACAGACAAATCACTGGCTGAGGGCCTCTGTGGTTATGCCCTTGAGCAGGCTGCGCTCCAAAAAACGTTACGGGCGAGTTTCCAAGCTATGTGGAAAGGGCCCTTGGAGGATGTCAAGGAAGAGGGGAGTCAGGAAGAGGAAGAGGATCTTGAGGTTGATGAAGACTGCATGGATGTGGATGAAGGTGAGGGCGATGAAGAAAGGGATGTTGACAGTGAGGATGATGCGCCAGGGACAAATGAAGATTATGAAGAGGACACCGATGGCGAAGAGTCATAGCTGCCAACAGTGACGACAAGGGGCAGGCAATGGCAACGACGAGGGACAGGCAACGGCAACGACGAGGGGCGGGCAACAGTGACAACGAGGGGCGGGCAACAGTGACAACGAGGGGCGGGCAACAGTGACAACGAGGGGTGGGCAATGTTGATGTCACATGATGACAAAAGCTCACGTGCCATTACATACCAGTAGATAGAAGAGTGCCCAAGTGGGCAGTAGCCGGGTCTGATCCATCAGACTGGTGGGCAGTAGTCAGTGTATGATACATCAAAGTAGCCTATACAGGTGGGGCGCTGGTCGTCGTTGGTGTGGGGTTGTTTTCATTGGTGGGCAGCATGGCCAAGCAGATACGATGAACGACGACCGATGTCGTTGTTTGTTGTCTGGTTGCCACGTTGTGATGTGGCACCTGTTTTTCATGTCAAAAAGAAGAGTGGGTGGGGTGGTTGTTCCCACTTACCTGGGCTGGGCCCTGTTGGTGATGTGGCATGGTCGGCGTCACGGTCAGCATCGTCGATGGTGGGCGCTCGTTGTGGTCAATGGTGGTGGGTGCTGTGGATGATGGGAGTGGGAAGGAAGACATGATGTGGCATTGTTTGTGCCCAGCTGGTGCATTCAGGAGGAGGGCTGAAGGTGGGTTATATAGTTACTTTGTTTTATGTATAATAAAGCCATTGTGGCTCAGTGGGCTTCAGCACTCATGTTGTTGAAGATGTTGAGGGTTTAATTCTTCTCTTGGGCAAATATTTTTTTAATTTTAAATTAGTAAGAACACTATAAGTACAACTATTTATATGTATTCTGATGGTATGGCGGTGTTCCATGGAATCCATATGAACTGTTCCATGGAATCCTTATGGAATAGTACATGGATTTGCAATATAAATCCATTGGAAATTCCATGGATTCCATATGGAAGGCACCATTCCACTAGTGGCTATCACTTTATTTCTATAACTTAGACTTAAGCCTAGAGGCCATATCTATAATGCTTAGGATTTTTTGAAAGGCATTTCAAATGTAGGCCTGGGTATTTCATAGTGAATTTTCCATAGATACCCAGCGCATTTTCTGCGAAGTTTCAAATGCAGCCCTGGATATTTCATTGCGATTTTTCAATAGATACCCTGGGCATTTCATTGTGATTTTTCAAATGTATCCCTGGGTATTTCATTGCGATTTTTCAAATGTATCCCTGGATATTTCATTGCAAAATTTCAATGGATACCTGGCACATTTCATTGCAATTTTTCAAATGTATTCCTGGGTATTTCATTGTGATTTTTCAATAGATACCCTTGGTATTTCATTGTGATTTTTCAAATGTATCCCTGGATATTTCATTGCAATTTTTCAAATGTATCCCACATGTCAGGGTCCATGCAATGGGCTTCCCTGGAGGGTGGTCACATGACCAATTACCAAAAATGGTCAAAAACGAAAGTTGTAGCCCTACACTGTAGCTTCCTGAATCTGTTTGAATTATGTTCTGAAGTGCTCCCGTTGTGGAGATATGAGGTAAAGGAATTTCAAAAGCGTTGTGTTTTTTTTTTTTTTGTGTTTTTCTCTATGAAAACAAAACCAAATAACATGATTTCAGTATATTCAGAAAGCTAAAAGAAAGGGCTACAATTATTGTATCATGGGAAAAATGACCAAAAAAGGAAGGTGCATCCCGTACTATAAGAATCAGATATAGACTACCAAGTTTACTGATAGACTACAAAAAAGTCAGACTTAGACTACACAGTTTACTGATACACTATAAAAGACTACAAAAGTCGAAATTAGACTACAAAAGCGTGGACTTAGACTACATAGTTAGGGTTTGAGTCAAAAGGTTATCTTGACTACAAAGTTTGTATTGTGGGTATCTATGGACAATTCACTATGAAATACCCAGGCCTACATTTGAAATGCCTTTCAAAAAATCCTAAGCATTATAGATATGGCCTCTAGGCTTAAGTCTAAGTTATAGAAATGACTCTCTAGGCTTAAGTCTAGGTTATAGATAAAAGTGGTAGCCACCAGTCACCATTCCATGAGCATTCCATATGGAATCCATAGTGGGCTTGGAATAAAAAAATTGCCTATATGGAGTCCATGGAATGAGGTTGGAATCCACCCATTCCATATGGAACATACCGGGGAGTGTAAAGACCTCAGAATGGGCAGGAACTGCAATCTGGTTATTTTATTGTTTTGTTATGTATTATAGCTTGTTTATTTCCGATGCTCACCAAACACGACCACAGTGCTTGTTTGGCAATCAAGTTCACCAAACACGGCCACCTTCTTCCTCCTACCACCACCAACTGTCATCACCATCGCTCTTCACGACCAGCAGGGTCCCCTCCAGTGGCCGCCATCCAAATTTGTCGCCCACACCTACCACAATGTGCCACGTCCACGTCACCAACTGAACGAGCGTCAACACGACTTATGCAACAATAGGATGGGGTAGTTCCAGGTGCCACATAGCCGAGTGATGTGGCAACTCAACGATGAGCAACATCGTTCGTTGTCCGTCATCGTCTCTATTGCAAGTGAGTACCCCCCACCCTCATTCCATGCCATCCCGCTAACCGTGACCACAAGAACCAGCACCAGCATGCTACAAAACGACAACCTCAGCACACGAATGACCTGAAACACGAACACACACACACTCAATGCCCACAAACGACAACATTGCACCCATGAACAACACTCACCGCCCCCACCCACAAACAACCATGACCTCACATTTTTAATTTGCCTCATTATCACTTTTTCACATCATGCCCAAGTTGGCTTAGGGTTAGTCATGTGTGAAAGGAAACAGACTAGTAACTAACAATGTGAAAACAGAGAATAGCCTGTCCTGATTAGTGTTGCCGCGGCTTCGGCTTTTAGCTGGTTCAAGCCACAGCCGAGATGAAATTAAAGCCGAGCCGAGCTGAGCCGATTGATCTGGCTTGGCTACTGCTTGAGCTGGCTAGAGCCGGGATTTTCAGCCTCATCAACCACACATGCTAGCTCATTCGAAACAAATAAAATTGGCTTTTGTCTGTACATATTATTCAACTAGTAATAGAATATACTTTAAATGAACCTAAGATCATAGAAAATAGCTAAGAATTGCCTGAGACGGTGTGACAGAGTCACACACCCCAAAACAGAAAATGTAATATATCTCTGGAACACAGACACGCAAACCTCTCGTCTCTTTGGGACCTTCAAACTACACTAGAATATGGTTTAAACAAGAGATAGATCATAAGAAACGATGGAAATTTGGCTGATCTAGGGTACTCACTCCCCAAAACAGAAAATGTAACATATCTCCAGAACACGGACACGCAAACCTCTTGTCTCTTCGGGACCTTCAAACTACACTAGAATATGTTTTAAACGAGCCCTAGATCATAAGAAACGATGGAAATTTGACTGACCTAAGGTACTTGCTCCCCAAAACAGAAAATGGAAGATATCTCCAGAACGCGGACACGCAAACCTCTCGTCTCTTTGGGACCTTCAAATGACACTAGAATATGTTTTAAACGAGCCCTATATCATAACAAACAATGGAAATTTGACTGACCTAAGGTACTTGCTCCCCAAAACAGAAAATAAAAGATATCTCCGGAACGCGGACACGCAAACCTCTCGTCTCTTTGGGACCTTCAAACGACACTAGAATATGTTTTAAACGAGGAGGTCTTATCAGTGCCCCCCTAATTCCTGCAGGAATCCGGTCATTCCTGCGGATTCCGGTGGATTCCGGAGGAATGAAATTTGGCAGGGAGGCCTGCTATTTTCATAATTCCGGTGCCTTACCATTCCGGCGGAATTTCGGCATTCCGGAATTGACACCGGAATGTTCCGCAGGAATGGCAGGAATGGAATGCAACGGAATCCGGCCAATGACGCCTAGGCTTTGCATGATGCAGAGGCGATATGGGTGACTTGTGTGACAAGAAAAATAGCCAAGGTCAGGAGATCTGGCGCGGCGCGCGCCAGATTCCGACGTATTTCCACTCGAGGTATGGCTACATACATGAGTAGTACTAGAGATGTCTCGTAGTATAATGGGAAGTGGGTGGGAGGGTGACGAAAAATTCGTATGCTAGAACTGAATGACATGTAAGATATCAAGACGAGGGCCTAGATAAAAAATAGAGATCATACCTGGTTGAGGAGTGAGATGTCAATGTCCGAGAGCGATAGCGCGCTCTCTTAGTAGCCTCTCCCGTGACCAGGCTTCCCTAAGGGGTTGCCTGGCACGCACAGTGGACGTGATCATTTTTTGGGAGCCCCCAGCAGCAATCGAGGGGGTAAAAAGGGGGAGATGTTAAGGTTGGGGACGTACTGCCATGCGACATCAAACTTGTGCCTGGAGATGGCGTCGGCGACACAGTTGAGTTCCCCGGCGATATGGAGAACTCTGAGCTGTATGTTTGAGTTAATGCATGTGTCCGCTGCATCAAGGAGAACTGAGTTGTAATGTGGAAGGCACCTGAGAGTGTTAAAAATGGCAACGGTGTTGTCATTGTCCGTGTAAATGAGGACTCTGG